AACCCTAAACCCTAATTCTAAATTTGACACCTGAACGCAACCTTGCCACATATCATACTATTGTAAGGATTCTCGAGAATGGGCTTGTTATCCTCATCCCAGGAACCCTCAGCCCGAAGCCTCCTGAAAGCCCTTGGAAGGTTCTACGTGTGGACTTTTCCAGGGACGAGGTCACAGCAGAAACGCTAGTTCAACAAGTGTTTGCATACCTCAGCTGCTGCTTCGAACTGCTGGAGTACGCCTCCTACCACCGTTCGTTCCCGTCGTTGTCAGCTGCACTTCTAGCTCCAGCAAGCACAGAAGCCTCTCGGGCACAGATTCTGCAACAAGCAAAAGCAGAATGGAACACTGTTTTGGATATGGAAAAAACAACAGCCGGACAACTGTTGCTCAAAAGGCATTGCTTGTTCACTACTTTCCAATCCTTTCGTGAACTTCATTCTGTGTGTGAGCGACATGGATACAAATTCGGGGAGCCGATTCGGGAGGTGGTCAAAGCCTGGCTGCCTGCCTTCGGGCAGAGCAGCAACCTGGAAAACATCTTTCGCGAACTTGAAAGTGCTGTTCGGAAATCCGGTCCTCCGCAAGATTCATTGACGAATCTGGCTTGTGTGGCTGTCAGATCCTTGGAGCGCAGAATTTGCAACGAGAAGACAGTTACCCCGGCGACACCCGAGCTGACTGAGCGCGACTGGGAGGGGAAAGAGATCAGGGCTTTGAAGAATCGAATTTGGCATCCCAATTCGGCCGTGCCCTGTGCCGCGGATCAAACGATCTAATGCTGTTGGCAAAATTTCGAAGTGGTTTCACTTGTGTTCAGACATGAGCAAACAATGGTGTCTTCCAGGTAAGCACATCCGCCTGGAGGACATCCTCAAGCCATTCCCAACCACGTCCGCCCACCACTGGACCCATCACGGGCTGAACTGCCTGCTTGGCTGGAAGTCAGCCATGGAGCTACCCCACTTCAACTTATCAGATTTTGCACAAACATTTGTTCTTTGAGGTGGCCTAAACCTAGGTAGTTAGTTTTTTTTCATGCCAGGAACGGACAAAGCCCCGTCGATGCCTCCGACCACTTTTGGGTTGCAAGCTGTTTCCAGAGAGGAGTTGTGTTCCGTCACAACGGCAAGTTCTTCATGTGCATGGGGAACACGTATGCTGTGATTCATGTTCCCTGGATTCATTGGTTTTTTCGAGCAGGGATACATCATTGTTCTGGTTTGGTCTGACCCGAAGCATCGCAGCGAGTAATCGGGTTTATTCCTCATTTCTTAATACCTGAGGCTGTCCTGTTGCAAGAGCTCCCGTGGACCTTCACAGGGCAGCTGCCGCCCGCAAGCAAGGAGAACCGCTGTGCTACGCAAGGCCAAGCCAAGAGAACGATTGAGGATTCTTTCCGAAAGCCAGAGGATTCCACAAAGGCCCTGTGCTTCGACAGTGGCTCGCAGCTTTGACAAACGGGATCGTTGTTCTTTACTTTTCTATTCCGAATATGAAAGGACTTTGGTTTTATTTCTTGCAACACCATCACACAACAAGGAACATCTTTGACCATGTTTGCTTGAGACCGGAGCAGGCCAGTCCAACTACACATCAGTGTTCATTCGAGGTTATGGGAAAAGCAACAGAACAGAACCAGTAACCCTCACTGCCTTTGCCAGCTCTTCATTCTCCTGGCAGGTTGAAATCTTTCAGTATACTTTCCACATTGCAGATGCTGCCATCGCCGCAAAGACAGGCAGCATTTTGATTCGGAGGGCCCCAGATGGTTGGAGTCTCCTGGTGTTTTTGTTTCGAACAGAACGCATTCTAACAATCACATCAGCGGCATTGAGCGAGCTCCTCAACTTGGAGGGCCTGAGACTTCCCAAGAACGCGGCAAAAGCAGCGAAGATCCGGAAGCTTATGGAATCTGCTGCTGTGGTCGCGAACACAGATCAGATCTTCAGAGACAGAATGGAGGCACAACTCCTGCATCAAGAGCAGAAGAAAAGCAAGCGGAAGGCCGAGACCGCCGATGAGCAAGATGAGGAGGGTGATGCGGAGCAGGATGGGCTCATCAATCAATAATGCTTCCGCACACCCCCGACTAGGACTAGAAAATCACTTGTTTCTTTTTTGTTTCGTGTCATAATCCCAAAACAGGCAGAGCAGGACATAGATCCTGCTTGTGCTGCTTGTGAGCAGCTTCTCGCTGAAATGGAGAAAGAGGACGAGGCCGACTTGGAAGTGGAAGCGACTGGGCTGATTTTGTACATCTGCTCCGTTTTCGATTCAATTGGTGTAAATCAAAACCTTTGCACAAGAATATATATTCCATAAATAAAGCCACTTTGAGCAATTCTTTCTACTATAACTCGCTTGCCAGTTCTGAATGTGTTTTGTGTTGGTTGCACACTTCTCTACGTGATCCCTAGGAAATCCAGGAAGCTGAAGTGGAATCTGCAGAGGCTAGGGATGCAAGGATTCGAGCTTCCAGAGCGCTCTTGACAAAGAGCAGTGCTGTTCCGACCTTTCTTTCGGAGAAGTTTCCCATTCCGGCTTGGGGCTTGATTCACCATACCACGTCGAAAGATTCGAGCAGTCCCCTGTTTCAAGCGAAACTGGCGGGCAAAAGAATCTTCGAAGGGAAGAAACTCGACTGACACATGCAAGTTTTGTTCTTTAGTTTATGCTCTTGTTCTGTATTTCGGTTATTAATTACCAATTCCGAGCATCAAATGATCAGCAGGAACTCCTGTGGATGTTCATACAACATCTCTTTGGATCAGCACGCACTCGATCAGTCTATCACTAGTCCGAAGCAAATGCCACCGACGCAGCGGTCCATGAGCCAGGGCTATTACATGGTGTGGACGTGGTTGCAGCGAGCTGATCCCTCGAAGGGCAAGCGAAAACGGGCCTAGAGTCCTAGATCCTGTGGGGGGGGCATCTCATATCAGAACAGCTTTCAGACACAATGCATAGCAGCCAAAAAAAAACACGATGCCGACTCACGGGCTTAGTCTTAGTGGGCACAAACCACAGCCATGCGTGTGGAGTAAAAAGGAGCACCCGAGACAGCATGCAGAAATCGTTGCAGCATGCACGTTGAGACAGAATGGGAAGGGAGAGTCTTGA